TGAGGGTCAGTGCTGAGGGAGTCCCGCACTGTCGGAGGGTCAGTGCTACTGTGAGGGCCACATTGTCTCAGTTGCTATTTCTATTTGAAAGGTTTAAAGTCCATCTGCTTTTGAGGTGGTTGAAAAGATCTGGCACAAAAACAAAGTTGCTGGAAAAGCGCAGCAGGTCTCGGAAGGGTTCTGAGGAAGGGTCACCTGACCCAAAACATTAACTCTATTTTTTCCTTCACAGATGCTGCCAGACCTGCTGAGCTTTTCCAGCAACTTCTTGATGATTTACAACGTCTGCAGTTCTTTTGGTTTTTGTAAAAGATCTGGTGACTGTTTTTCCCAGAAGAGACAGACATTTTACACGTTCCTGGGATGACCCAGCCTCTACTGTAAATGCAGGCAGTACAATGGGGATTATGAACCGAGAATATCAGTGAAAACCTAATCTAAGAGGATCTTCAGCCAACCATCACTCCACAACAGCTGCTGCTAGCTCTCCATCTGCAGCTCAATGATAGTGTCTGTCACAGTACCCCACACTGAAATGGCAAAACTACAAATGTTGTCTCTGGTATTCCGAAAGCTGCTGGTATTGTCTGTTTGGTCAATAACAGAATCGGAAGCTTCTGGAGCCCCAGTTCCCACAGAACAAGAGTTCTGTTTTGAAACAGCACAATGAGCAGTTGGTGACATTCTCTGCTGATGTCATCCTGGCACAAGGAATTGCAAAGAGATAGTGAACTGCAGTCATGAGATATCACTGACTCAGTTTGTAATCTGTTGACCAATTTAATTTGACACTGATATAAATTACAGCCCGGTGATAGTGCAAGAACAAGTACTTTCCAGGTGATAATGTTCTTTGACACCAAATAACAAATAAGATTCCTTTCATTACAAACAGGTGGTAGAGAATGTTATCTCATCTTGAAAACATTTATCCAGGGACTCACGAAACAAGGTCAAAATGTAATTGTTGATTGTGCATGTGATCAAATTCTGAAATGTTTATGTAGTTTATTGTGTAACACCATAACCTTTTCCATCTGTCCTTTAGAATTACTGGAAAAATGCAGACTATGCTGCTCCCTTTAATTTGGTTTGATGAGGTAAGTTAATCACATTTGGTCAATTTCTCCTCTACCCAATGACATGTAGAACATGGGGACTGATTTGTTCCCAGAGTGAAGCTCGCAAACTGAAAGAAATTGCCTCTTCTGTTTTTGTTAAAGGAAAGCTAGAGAAATAGGGTTCAGTATTCAGTCCCAGAGAACTCAACCAATGAAGGGTTTTACAGGATTAACTGACAGAATCTTCTTGGTTCCTTCAGGGCCAGTTTATTGATGGAATGAAAGGTAATAGAAGAAGCTCCTGCTTACTCTTCTAACCAGAAGTGTAAACCCTTTGAAGGTGGTAACAGTAGATATTTTTGAGCAACCTGTTCAAAGATGTTATTACACATCGCTCAACAGATGGGACTGTGTCCTCTGGCTGACCACCCATCTATAATTCAAGGTGGAGGCAGTCAATTTTCCACTTTCCATTTTAGCATAAAACAAAATCAAATAGAGAGCAGGTCCCCACAGTGAACAGTTCAAAAAGATACAGGAAACGTGGGGGGATATGTCTGAGAACAGAGCAGCCAGAACTCCATCCTGTGGCATGTTCAGTACAGGACGTCCACACTGTCTAGTATTTGGAATAACTGGGAAAGCAAGCAAGCAACAATCTAGACAGCTGCCTGACCACATCCTGTGTCACTGGGAGCTGCTGGAGGTGTTGGAGAGCTGCTGGAGGTGATGGAGAGCTGCTGGAGGGGTTGGAGAGCTGCTGGAGGGGTTGGAGAGCTGCTGGAGGTGATGGAGAGCTGCTGGAGCTGTTGGAGAGCTGCTGGAGGTGTTGGAGAGCTGCTGGAGGTGTTGGAGAGCTGCTGGAGGTGATGGAGAGCTGCTGGAGGTGTTGGAGAGCTGCTGGAGGTGATGGAGAGCTGCTGGAGGTGTTGGAGAGCTGCTGGAGGTGTTGGAGAGCTGCTGGTCTTGCTAAATGAAGGAGCTGCCAGCTCAGAACAGCCAAGAGGCTGCAGAAATCAAACTACTGACATCATAGGTCGGCACAGTACAGGCCCTTCGGCCCACCATGTTGTGCCGACCTATTATCCTACTAAGATCAATCTACCCTGCATGCCCTACATTTTACTATCCTCCATGTGCCTATCCAAGAGTCGCTTAAAGTCTCTAAAGTATCTGACTGCACTACCACTGCCGGCAGCGCATTCCACACGCCCACCATTCTCTGTGTGAAGAACCTACCTCTGACATCTCCCCTATACCTTCCTCCAATCATCTTAAAATTATGCCCCCTCCTAATAGTCATTTCTGCCCTGGGAAAAAGTCTCTGACTATCCACTCTATCTATGCCTCTCATCATCTTGTACACCTCTATCAAGGCACCTCTTATCCTTCTTCGCTCCAATGAAAAAAGCCCTCGCTCCCTCAACCTTTCCTCATAAGACCTGCCCTCCAGTCCGGGCAGCATCCTGGTAAATCTCCTCTGCACCCTCTCTAAAGCTTCCACATCTTTCCTATAATGAGGTGACCAGAACTGAACACAATATTCCAAGTGTGGTCTAACCAGGGTTTTATAGAGCTGCAGCATAACCTCACAGCTCTTAAACTCAATTCCCCTGCCAATGAAAGCCAACACACCATACGCCTTCTTTACAACCCTATCAGCTTGAGTGGCAACTTTGAGGGATCTATGGATGTGGACCCCAAGATCCCTCTGTTCCTCCACACTGCCAAGAATCCTGCCATTAACCCTGCATTCTGCATTCAAATTCAACCTTCCAAATGAATCACTTCATACTTTTGGGAGAGAGTTTTCATCTGAACACCATTGTGTGCACATGGTTACAAGGTAACCAAGGTTTGGGAATAAATATTCCAAATTACACAAGATTTAGAAAAGAAAGATAAAGTGAAAAGGAGGATGGGTAGACTTGAGAGTAAAGAATAAGCAGAGTAATGAGAAATGATCTTGGGCTGGAAGATTCAGGAAATAGAATCAGTTTGTGTGATTAGGAATAACAGGAATCAGAAAACACAGGTAGGAGTCATTAATGGATCCCCTAACAGTAGAGGAATGAGAAATTCTACCATATGATAAACATGCCATTAGACAGAGCCAGAGAAATGAAGAATTGTGTATTTATGTGTTTTAGTGATTACAGTAAGACTTTTGATCAGGGAAAACGGAAACTGTTCAGCCTGTTAGAATGATGAGAAATCTTTATTGGGAATAAGTTGCAGTTGAAAATGTTGAGAATGATCTTAGTGATTTTGTGAAGATTAAAAAGAGGGTCAGGAAAAGATATGTTTTTGACCCAGATGTATTCAATTGGCGTCATAAAAATATTTTGAGAAAGACAGAGGTTCTTCCTGGATTATTAGTTGGAGGCTACAACTTTAATTAGGTTAAGTAATTGACTTATTGTCCACTGTATTGTGCTTTTATCTCTATATTATGACCCTGGGTGGATGAAGACATCACTTCAGTTTCTTCCATTATTTTACTCAATATCCTGACTATAATTTATTTTCGTGTCCAATTCACTGATCAGCAGGAACAACTTGCACTGTTTACTCTGATTGCACAGAATCAACAGCCAGCTGAGGAATTTAATCCAGCCTGGGTTCATTTTAACTTTAGAATTAGTGTCAATGCTACGTAAAACATTTGCAACTTTTATACCATTAACAGAAGTTAAAATGTTGTTATCCATCAGCTGCATGTGAGATTTTATCATTCACTCTTCAGGGGAAAATCAACAGGAACCTCCTGATTGGTCAACAACATTTAAGAAGGAGCAGCCTTTAGAAAAAGGAAGAGATACAAAGCAGCAACAATATCAAAAAGACATGAACAAATTCACAAATTAGTGTCATAGAGTCATAAAACAGGAAATTAGACTTTCCAGTCTAACTAGTCCATTCCAATCAGGTTTCCTGAACTTAACTAGTCCCATTTGCCTGCATTTGGTCCATATCCCTCTAAACCCCTCCTATTCATGTACCTGACCAAATCTCTTTTAAATGCTGTAATTGTACCCACTTCTACAACTTCCTTTGGCAGCTCGTTCCATCCATGCACTGCCCTCTGCATGAAAAAGACCCCTCAGGTCCCTTTTAAATCTTTTCCCTCTCACCTTAAACCTATGCCCCTTAGTTTTGGACTCCCATACTCTGAGGAAAAGATCTTGGCTATTCACCATATCTATGCCCCTCATGATTTTATAAATCTCTATAAAGTCACCCCTCAGCCTCTGACACTCCAAGGAAAAATCTCCCAGCCTATTCAGCCTCTCGTTATAACTCAAACCCTCCAGTCCCAGTAACCTCCTTGTAAATCTTTTCTGTAGCCTTTCCAGTTTAACAGCATCCTTCCTACAGAGGAGTGACTAGAATCATGCAAAATATTCTAAAAGTGGCTTCACCAATGTCTTGTGCAGCTGCAACATGACATCCTAACTGCTATACTCAATGCACTGACCAATGAAGGCAAGCATGCTAAATGCCTTCTTCATTGCCCTGTCTATCTGTGACTCCACTTTCAAGGAATTATGTACCTGCACCCCTTGGTCTCTTTGTTCGACAACACTCACCAGGGCCCAGTAACATGATTTCATTAATAATGTAAAGCAGAATCAATGTCTTTTAGTGCAGTTATCAATTGGTTCATGTTGACGAATTGTGTTTCCTTCAGAGTGCGAACATTGATGGTCCAATTCTAGACAATTTTTACACCTTCATGGTGGTCATACCAAGGGTTCTCCAGTATGTCCAATTCATCCTCCTGGGGCTTGGGGCCTTGCTGCTGGTTGTTGCTGCAATTCTCGGAATCATTCTTCTGCAACAGGTGAGAAAAATGAATAGCCCATAGAACACAATTTGTATGTTCATCATCAGCTTTGACAATTTGCACCAAGAAACCCATCTTAAATACAAGTGCATTTACCTAAAATTGATACTAATTGCAGGAGAAATAATATTCTCAAAGCTTAGCCTTAGACAAACATAAAAAATTGCAGTGAATGATGTAAATATTTAACTAAGGACCAATAAATTGATAGTTGGAAACTACAAACATAATGTGAAAAGGGAATGTGCTTCTATTAAAACTCATATTGTTGAAAAGAATTTCTTTTAACACTCTTCACCTCTCCAGACGTGGGTGTTGCTGGCTGGGCCAGTATTTATTGTCCTGTCCCTAGATGCCCTTCAGGTGGGGGTGAGCTGCCTTCTTGAACTGCTGCAGTCCATGTGCTGTAGATAGACCCGCAATGACCTTAGGGAGGGAATTCCAGCATTTTGACGCAATGACAGTAAAGGAACGGTGATATATTTTCAAGTTAAGATGTTGAGTTGCTTGAAAGGAGCTTGCAGGGGATGGTGTTCCCATGTATCTGCCGCCTTTGTCCTTCTAGATGGAAGTGGTCGTGGGTTTGGATGGTGCCATCTAAGGATCTTTGGTGAATTTCTGCAGTGCATCTTGTAGATGGTACACACTGCTGTTACTGAGTGTCGGTGGTGGAGGGAGTGGATGCTTGTGTTGATGGACTTGATGCTGTTCAAGCAGCTGCTTTGTCTTGGATAATGTGTTATGATTCCCATAATTTTGAAAAATGCAATTAGAAATTCCAGTTGATAGCTGAAAGAATGACACAACAATATTTCTCTTTTTAAAACTTTTACTGTAGTAACCAAACTACGAGCATTATCATTTAAATATTGCTTTTGTGGTCAGTTTAAACTTTAAATCATAGCAGAGAACGTTCCCCTTTTTAGTTTTAACAGAACTGAAAAACCCACTTTAGACTAAATCTTAAGTGTTTGCTAAAGTATCAGTCAATTTTCCCAGAGCCAGTCCAAGATGACTGCCTAGCTCCTAAGAGTTCACTTCTATTCAATTGAATTAGCTTTATTGTCATATGTATTCAAATGAATCAGCATCATCTTAGGTACAGAGGTACTTAGGTACTTCAGTTTCTTTCTTTTCCTTTCAAAGCCTGGAAACTTCAATTTCAAAACTGCCATCACATTTAGGATGTTTCCTGCTGTTTCCCACTCTCAGCACAAAGTAGGCAAATCTTCCAGCCTTGTTTCAAATCCTCATGGATGTGTTCTTTCAGTTTGATTTTCTTTCAGTGTAATTTCAGTCTGAGCTCACAGTTACTATCCTGTAAATCACTGAAACACTCAGGCTTCCTCAGATCCTTCTCTCCCAGATCGTTAGTAGGCTGCCTGTGTCTGTGAATTTCAGGGATCCCTTAGAAACCCTTCCCATGTCAAAACCTGTCTCCATAACCTTGTATCATGGTAGAATTAGCTATCATTCACACACTGACTCTCTTTTATTTTGGAAGAAAATGGACAATTTAAAGCCTAACTGTGCACAGCCTGATTTTCTCAATTCCTTTGAGAGATGTTGGAGACAATCTTCCTCAGTCTCACAGTTGGTTTACAGATGCTGCAACCATTGTTTCCAACGCTGAATACATTAGAACAGAATACTTTAGAACTCAGAATTGAGGAAGGGTCACTGGACCCGAAACGTTAACTCTGTTTTCTCCTCCACAGGTGCTGCCAGACCTGCTGAGTTTTTCCAGCAACTTTGTTTTTGTTCCAAGCGTACCAAACACCTTCTTCACCGCCCTATCTACCTGTGATTCCACTTTCAAGAAACTATGAATCTGCACTCCAAGGTCTCTCTGTTCAGCAACACTCCCCAGGACTGTACCATGAAGTGTATAAGTCCTGCCCTGATTTGCCTTTTCAAAATGCAGCACCTCATATTTATCTAAATTAAACTCCATTTCCCACTCTTTCACCCATTGACCCATCTGATCAAGATCCCATTCTACTCTGAGGTAACCTTCTTTATTGTTCACTACGTTTCCAATTTTGGTGTCATCTGCAAACTTACTAACCATACCCGTTATGTTCTCATCCACATCATTTATATAAATGATAAAAAGCAGTGGACCCAGCACCGAACCTTGTGGCACTGGCCACAGGCCTCCAGAATGAAAACCTCCACCACCACCTTCGACCTTCAACTAGTTCTGCATCCAGATGGCTAGTTCTTCCTGTACTCCATGTGATCTAACCTTGCTAATCAGTCTACCAAGAAGAACCTTGTCAAACACCTTACTGAAGTCCATACAGATCGCATTCACTGCTCTGCCTTCATCAGTCCTCTTCGTTACTTCCTTAAAAAACTCAGTTAAGTTCGTGAGACATGATTTCCCACACACAAAGCCATGTTGACTATCCCTAATCAGTCCTAATCCCTATCCCTAATCCCTATCCCTAATCCCAATCCCAAATTTGTTGCCTGTGAAGACTAAGTGGTAAGTGGGTGAATGATTGACAATGGTTACATGAAGGTTGTTCTGAGATTCTCTTCTGGAACCCTGTTCCACTTCCTTCTCATCTTTTGCAACCTTCCTAAACCCCATTATGACCAAACTTTTATTAAACCCTTACATTACCTCAGTTTTGGGGGATCTTTGTTTTGTCACTGATCTTATATAATAAGATTTATCTTTGTTCCTGGTGCCCCTTTCACTTTGCTTAACGTGATTGACAACTTTTTGAGCAGATTCGAGCAGACTGACTCTGAGGTGCTCAGTAATATTGGTACTGGAAAATTAATCCAGCTCTCACTGTGTGCAGCCATTCTAATCTGAACACAGGGAGATTGGACCTGCCCACAGGGGGATTTCAGTAAGAAGCACCATCTTTTAGAATACAACATGTTGAGATTGTGCAAAACATATTACAAACTGTTCAGCATTAATAAGGTTGATCAGGCAAAGAAGTAAAGTAGGTTAATGGCGTACCCTATATTTGGCTGGAATGTATCGTTAGCTTGTTTTCCATCAGTTTTCAGCCAAGTATTTCAACACTTGATGTAGGCAGACCTGAAGAGGGTGTAATGAGTGACACCTTGATCTATAAAGGGTGTATTATTTTAAAATATTCTTTCAAAGGATGTAGGTGTCAAAGCTAAGGCCAGCATTTGTTGCCCATCTCTAATTGCCCCTGAACTTTGTGCCTTGCTGGGCCTTTTCAAAGTGTATTTAAGAATCAACTACATTGCCATGAGGTTGCAGACTAGACTGGATAAGGACAGCTGATTTCCTTCCATAAAGAATATTAATGAATCAGATGGGCTTTTACAACAGCCAATGATAGTTTTATGGTCACTGTTACTAGTTTTCAATTCCAGATTTTATGAATTGGATTTGTGCTTCTGAAGGACAATTAAGGGTGGTCAATATATGCCAGTCTAATCAGTTCCAACGAAATCCTGTAAGTGAATAAAAAAAATTACATTTTACCAGTTGGAATAGTGAGATTTGAAGCCACAACCCTAAAGCATTCACTTGGGCTGCTAGTTTCCTGTGACTTTATCACTACACTACTTCTAACTTCTTTCTGGTGTGTAAAGTTTTAGTGTGGAATCTTCCCAGCCTCTAAACAACATGGCCAATGGTAAGGAGGTTAGGAAAATCGCAGTGAGGTGGCCAAGGAGGAGTTCTCAACACCAAGAGCAAAAGTTTCATTTTTCTGACCAGTGTTGAACAGAAAGATAAGATGAGACATATGAGCAAACAGTCAATAAAAAGGGGCAATAAGTTAAAATACTGCACTGTTGATGACATCGGCCTAGGAGGAGGCTCAAGTCCATGCCACTTGATCATGTGTTTGTGTGGCAATTATCTTGACTTTTGACATACAAAGCATGAGATTGGCGCATATGTTGGAGGAAAAAGCAACATTAACTTCACCCATGATTATTCAACAACTCTTGTGCAGTGTGTCGTGCTGAGTGAGAATAATTATTGATAACATTATGCACACACCCAAATGCTAGATCGAGCAGGAGTGTAGCATCAAAAGATATTTGTGGTCAGGTGACTGGGAACTATTTTATGAAATAACCAGATCCTTGAATGGGGAGACAGTAGAGCTGGTACTCGGGACCATTGCAGGTAAGTGGGCTAAAGTGTCATCTTCATCCAAGACAGGGAGTCATTTTTCAAGTGGAAGGAGATCAGCATGCAGAAAGGCCCAGCCAGAAATCATTTTGGGAGTGGGAGGGGCAGAAAAGGGAAGAATTGAAATATTTGACAAAGCAGCGCTTTAAAGTCTATGGGTCAAGAGAGTTGGAATGAAATGGAGAGATCTTCTAGTGAACCAGCACAGAATCAATGGGCTGAATGGCCTGTACAATTTTTATGATACCAATCATCTTAAAATATCTTTGGTAGATTTTTTATAGGTAATTGGGTTTTTAGGGTCTTTCTACAGTCTCAGACCAGACTCCTTAATAACTGTTAAACTATTGTTTGATGTTCATTGGACATGATGGCAAGGCTAGAGGTGAACTGGACAGAGTCCAATGTCTTAATGGAACACTAACACATGACTATTGAAGTCACAGTGACCTCAGGCTTATCTACATATTCGTTAAACCCTATCACGACAAAAGATTTTCTTGAATGAATTTACTAGCTCAGAATTTGCTGTATCCTAGGCCCAGTTGGAGATCCTTTCAACAGTATTAACCAGCAAAAAGTGATGGTGGGATTGGATCCTTAAATTTGCATGTGTTTCCTGAAGGAAGACTTTCTAATTACCTACAGGTCCACATCATCTCCCTTGTGCCTTTTCTGGAAAAGTGGACTGTCACTTCAACTGTTGTTTCATTGGTTTCAACCAGGCAACTAAAAGTAGCCTTGTAGGAGCAAATTACTGCAGATGCTGGAATCTGTACTGAAAACAAAAAATGATGGAGATCACAGCAGGTCAGGCAGCATCCGTGGAGAGAGAGCAAGCTAACATTTCGAGTTTAGATGACTCTTCATCAGAATGTTAGTTGCCTTTAGGTTCTGGGAGGGTGTGAGACCAAGCAGTCCTGATTTTGGCTATTCTTCAGTTGAATTCCTTCCAAAAGTGCATGTCTGTGGTTTCTTCAGAACTACACTCAGTCCCAATGGAATCAGTTTAAGCTGGAACCCTCAGAGCTTAGACTCCCTTTTATCAGGACGACTCCCACCCTCAATTATAAACCATGTTCGTGAGGTCCTGTATATTCAATAACTTTGTGCATATGACTGAAACAGAACTATAAATGGAATATGAAATCATGAATTAATTTTCATTTTAATGTTAGGCATTTATAATGTTGTTAACGCTGTGTTAATGCTCCTAAAATAACACAGTCTAAAGAAATATTTACAAATGAGTTGGAAAATTGGATTGGACAATGTATTGCCAAAGATACCAATCATGTTGAAAGCTGGAAATTTAAACCATGTTCTTTTAAGACTTGAAGCAAACAAATGGCATTTCTATTTGCTTCGGTCACATGCATACCTGTCGTTATTCAAGTTTAAATCCGTGCAAGGTTCTCTATAAACACCTTGTATTTGTCTTGTAAGAAGTGAGTAAGAATTTCTGCATAGCATGGTGGCTCAGGGGTTAGCACTGCTGCCTTACAGCGCCAGGGACCTGGGTTCGATTCCAGTCTCGGGCGACTGTGTGGAGTTTGCACATTCTCCCCGTGTCTGCGTGGGTTTCCTCCCACGGTCCAAAGATGTGCAGGTTAGGTGGATTGGGTGTGCTAAATTGCTCATAGTGCTTAGGGGTGTTTGGGTTAGGTGGGTTAAATGTGGAAGGGTAGGGGAATGGGTCTGGGTGGGATGCTCTTCAGAGGGGTAGTGTGAACTTGTTGGGCTGAATGGCCTGTTTCCACACTGTAGGGGTTGTATGGTATTAATTAATAATCCATCACTAATAATTATACAATTAATTAATGATTCACCATTTATACATTCCTTCTGTTCGCTGTTCAAGCTGCAAACTGTGAATGAGATCTGGATTGGGATTTTTGGAAAATGAATCCTCAGCTTGTTTTTCTTGAGGATTATTCTCATTTCTTTTCCAGAACAAAGACAGAAACTCAAGCACAAAGTGGATTGGTGATAAATCTGCCGCTTCTGGGAGAGCCTCAGTTTTGGTGAATGCTGATCAGAAGCTGAAAACTCAATCTCGTCTCTAGGTGGGTTTTAGACTTCAGCCCATCTCCTCCTCCAGATTGAGGAGAGGTGTTTGAAAGGAGGTGGGAGTGGGAGGGAGGAGATGAGGGGAGGAGTATGGGGTGTTATGAGGGAGTTTGATGAGGTGTAGGCATTGGATATTTGAGGGGGTTTGGAATGGAACTTTAAGAGGCTTGGGTTGGGGTCTTAGGGGGGTTTAGGGATCAGGTGTTTGGGAGGTCTGGGGATCGAATGTTTGGGGGACGACATTGGGGATCGAGTGTTTGGTGGATTTAGGGATCAGGTGTTTGGGAGGGTTTGGGGATCGTGTTTGTGGGGTGTTTGGGGGTCAGGTGATGGGAGAGGTGTTGGGGATCATGTGTTTGGGGGGTTTGGTGATCAAGTGTTGGGGGTTTGGTGATCAACTGTTAGGAGGGTGGGTTAGGGATCAAGTGTTTGGTGGATTTGGGAATCGGGTGTTGGGGGGTTTGGGGATGGTATGTTTGGGGAGGGTTTGGGATTGAGTGTTTGGTGGATTTAGGGATTGGGTATTTGGGGGTTTGGGGATCGAGTGTTTGGGGGGTTGGGGATCGGGTATTTGGTGAATATAGGATTGGGTGTTTTGAGGGTGTTTGGAGTTCAGGTGATAGGGGACAGGTGTTGGGGATCAAGTGTTTGGGGGGTTTGGGGATCGGGTGTTTGTGGGGTTTGGGGATCGGGTGTTTGAGGGTTTGAGGAAGAGGTGTTTGGTGGATTTAGGGATCGGGTATTTGAGGAATTGAAGAATCATGTGTTTGGGGGGTTTTGGGGCTTTGGGGATATGCTGAAGGAGGTGATGAACAGAGTGGGGAGAGAATATCATGTCACTTAACACACTTGAGGTTTGTAACAGTGAGAAGGAAATTCCAGTTGCTGTCTCCCCAAGTTCATCGAATAATTTATTGCAGAGTAAAAGTAAATTAATGCATCAAACACTGATCAGTTCCATATTTTGCGGTATGTCTGAACTGATATTTTCCACTAACAGGTCATTAACATTCCAAATGTCCAACATCTACCACAAAGTTTAATGTCCTTCTGAATGCCCCTCTGCCTCTATCCCCTGCCCCAGTGCCATTGTGATGCCAGTGACCCACAACCCCCTAGTGTTCCAGCACCCCCAAGCCCCATTATCCAAGTGTACCAGTGTCTCTGTACTAATTGCTCCGGTACCCCCTTACCCCCAGTGTTCCTGTACCTAGTTGCCCCAGTACCCCCTAATGCCCCAGAGCCCCATTGCCCCCTTCACCCCATTCCCCTAAACCCTGTGTCCCAGTGGCCCTCTATACGCCCAATGTCACTGGTAAATCTCATCTTTCTTTTTTAGCACGTTCAGATCCAGGAAGAAGGAAAGAAGAAAGTTCCAGAAAGATGCCTTAGCTACATTTACTGATCTGGAATTGCTGACTGATGAATGGAATGAATTTGGAATCTGAACTGATCACAATCATGTTGTTCTGTAATTTTTGCTAACATATCAAAAATCTGTAATCTCTCAGTAGTGTTTACAAAACAAGAAAAAGGAAAATCTTAACCAGAGCTGCATTTGTGTTAATGAATGAGAGCGAGTGTAGACTTGTAAAGGGCAGATTGTGCTGAATGAATAAAAATGAATTTCTGTGATGAAGGAACAGATGAAGAATTTGCAGTGGATATTGTCTGTATAGATTTTAAGAAAGTATTAGACAAAATACTACATGAATAGGGTGGCATGGTGACTCAGTGGTTATCACGGCTGCCTTACAGCGTCAGAGACCTGGGTTTGATTCCACCCTCGGTGTCTGTGTGGAGTTTGCACATTCTCCCCGTGTCTGCGTGGGTTTCCTCCGGGTGCTCCAGTTTCCTCCCACAGTCCAAAGATGTGCAGGGTAGGTAGATTGGCCATGCTCAATTGCCCGTAGTGTTCAGGGATGTGTAGGTTAGGTGAATTAGCCATGGGAAATGCAGGGTTACAGGGATAGGGTAGGGGAGTAGGTCTGTGTGGGATGCTCTTTGGAGAGTTGGTTTGGACTTGTTGCACCAAATGGCCTGTTTCCACCCTGCAGGGGTTCAATAAATAAAAGCTGATTAACAAAAGTGTGTTTAGTGGAATTGGGTGGTTCATCATTCAATTGGATTTTTAATAAAATGGCTTAAGGACAGAATTTCAGGGATTTCAGGTGGGAAAGTTCAGTGTTAGGGCCATGGCTCCATTTGACATGTACATAAATTACTTGGATTTCAGAGAACAGAGTAACCTTCCAAAATTTGCCAATAATATCAACTTGGAACAAAGGCAAACTGTGAATGTGATTTCAATCAGGGGACATTAGCAGGCTACTAGCAGAATGGATGAGCATGTAGAAGATGGAATTTAGTAGATAGTGTTCTGAGGGAGATATCAGGAACAGGGTTGTTACACAGGGAGTGTTACTGATCCTGGAACATGCTGTCACGGGAGGTTGCAATGTAAACACATCCTGTCCACATTTCCCATGAGTGTTTCTGACAATGACATTTGTAATATGACGTTTAGGTGAAGATGAAGATGTTCATTCTCCGGGTTGTTTGGTCGGGTTCCACTGGATTTGTTTGGGATTGAGACCAATCTGTGCCTAGATGGCTCTACTGTAAAGAGGACAGGAACTCAGGTAAATGACTGAGGTTGAGACAAGTTGTTGGTGAGTTCTGAGGAAGATGTCAGCAAGAGGTTCTTCACACAGCGAGTATTAATGAACTGAAAGTTACTGCCCATGAGAAGGGAGGAAAGGTTTCAAAAGAAAATTGGATGGACACTCAAAAGGAATTAAACTGCAGAATTAAAGGGCCAGAGCAGCTGAATGGGACAGAATGGTTTGCTCCACAAAGAGCTGCCATAGACCAATGGGCTGAATGGTCTTTTTCTGTACCATTATCCTTGCCCCTAGTAACTATCTAGAATTACTGTCTTCAAAATCTTTATTCCACATTTGACTTGGAGGTGCACTTCTAGCCTTCTGCCTATTTCCACCTTGAATTTATCACCTGACTCTGCCCAGGTCTCAGTCACCTTCCCTGCTGAAGCCCTGACTCATATATTCATTATCTCTTGTCTTGACTAATTCAGCATGTTCCACATTTTCTCCTCTGGAGACTTGGGGTCATCCAAAACTTTATTGCTCATGTCTTACTTCAAACCAAGTCCTGTTGCCCATTACCCCTGTGCCTATTACCCCCTGTGCCCATTAACCCCCCGTGCTCATTAACCCCCCTGTGATCATTAACCCCCCTGTGATCATTAACCCCCATGATCATTAACCCCCGTGATCATTAACTCCCATGATCATTAACCCCCGTGATCATTAACGCCCATGATCATTAACCCCCGTGATCATTAACCCCCATGATCATTAACCCCCATGATCATTAACCCCCGTGATCATTAACCCCCATGATCATTAACCCCCGTGATCATTAACTCCCATGATCATTAACCCCCGTGATCATTAACCCCCATGATCATTAACCCCCGTGATCATTAACCCCCATGATCATTAATCCCTGTGATCATTAACCCCCGTGATCATTAACTCCCATGATCATTAACCCCCGTGATCATTAACCCCCATGCTCATTAATCCCTGTGATCATTAACTCACACTGGCTCCCACTGAAAGAACAGCTCAGTTTTTAAAAAAATCATCCTAGTTTTCAAATCCCTCCATGATCGCACCCTCCCTTTCTTGGGAACCATTCAGACTCATAAACTCTCCCAAGTATCTGTGGCCCTTAATCCCAGCCTTTTGTGCATTTCCATTTTTAATCTCTCATTAGTAGCTAATCTGTGGAATTTCCTCCCTAACCCTCTCATTCTCTCACTCCTTCTTTAATCCACTTCTTAACCCCAGCTGGTCTAGTATTTCCTTATATGGCTAGATGTCATATTTTATTTTACAATAATCTTGGGAGCACCTTGGGATATTTTATTTTGTTAAAGGTGTTATATAAATCTTGTTGTTGTCTGCCTCTCTGACCATGACTCCTGTTATCAGTTTGTGTGAGCCTCCGTCAGCTTCAGGGCTGGTGGCTTCAGCTCTCACGTTCCAATGGTTTGTGATTACAACACAAGAAGTGGGAACAGGCCATTCGGCCCCTCCAGTATGTTTCACCGTTCAATAAGATCATTGCCAATCTCTTATCTAACTTCACCTTCACAAATTGTCCCAAATCTCTTCATTCCCCAAAATCCGTTGATTTTTAAAAATTATTTTATGGGATTTATCTCATTAGCAAGGATAATATTTGTTCCCCATCTTACTATGTATTACAATAAACATATTCTAACCACAGGTAAACAATTGTGAACTGTTGATATATAACTCTTGGTTAAATCTCCAACCCCTGCCCCTTTTAAAACTCCCCAACACACATACAGCCAGACTCAGACAGACCAAAAACATTGGTGTTATGGATAGAAGGAAAACTTTGGAGGCAGCAGTTCACAGGATTTCCTCCAGTCATCTTATTGTTCGCCAGGATTTTCTGTTCAACAATCTCACTTTTCAGGTTCTCTGCACTTCCTTATAGGAGGCACAGGCGATCAGTACTAACTGCAACACTTCTTAGTTACTGGTTAAAGGCCACAGGTTACAATTACTGGGAGGAAAAATAAATTGACTTTCCTCAGTCTTTAGGTATTTTACTGGATAGAGAGACACAGCATCTGCCCTGGCAGCTTTTCAAAAACTTCTGCCAGTATTGTTCACACCTACAAGCTGTTTTAGCCTCCCATGAACCAAACAGACAGTTGTTATCAAGCTAATGGCTTTTGGCATCCACAATTGGTCACTGCCCCACAAACTAATCAGCAACCTGTCGCCAGTCCATATCTCATCTTATACATTCCCCCTAGTGTTGACCCATCTGCAAATAGCCTCTGCCACTACAAGCAAAAGTGTAAACATAACTCACAATGAGATTCAGTAACTTGCTTTTACAAAGAGCAGCAATTCCTTCCACAATCCTTGGTTTTTAAAACGATCTTTCTCCCATTTAAATCTGCAATCAAAAATACAGAAAAATAAAAAGACATGCTCCTTTACACACTCATGAAGGTTTTGACAATAGTCATCAGCTGAGTATCTAAAATCGTCTGGGATCAAGAATAATTCTATGGTTGAAGAAATTTCTTCTTATTTCTGTCCAAAATGATTGATCACTCACCTGATTCTCAATCTTCCAGGTCTAAGTTCAAAGTACAACAACAACAAGATATTCCACGTCAGCTGTACCTGAGAATAATCCATAAATCATTAGCGGGTGTCATTATCCTCCTAATACAGGGAGTGTATTATCCTCCTAATACAGTGTCTTCCAAGACACTGATAGGAGATCAAAAATAATATGTTTCAAACAAAATTGTTAATAAACATTATGAATAATTTAAGAAAACTAGAAAAACTTTTTAAAATTTTGTAGCAATATTTTAACATTATTAATAATAGTACTGAATATTTTGCTAAGTGATGTAAAGAAGATGGCTGCTAAAACTAATTAAATCCTTTTCCAGAAATTGGTTTATTTATTAACACTCAAACTGCAAATTCACTCACCATCTGACTTGGAAATATATTGCTGTTCCTTCAGTGCCACTGGGTTAAAATCCTGGAATTCCCTCCCTAACAGCATTGTGACTCAACCTACAACTGCAGTTTCAAGAAGGCAGCTCACCACCACCTTCAAGGGGCAACTAGGGACAGGCAGTAAATGCTGGGCCCAGCCTGCGACACCCAAATGAAAAGAAAATTAAAGATAAAAAACACTGGTTTTCCATCATCTCTGCCATGTCTATAAACACTTCCAACATTTTTCCATTATAGTTTCCTATGTCAACATTTATGCTGAAAACTGTCACGTTGGGGTGATTCTAATTTACTGGAATTCTTTGAGGAAGTAACTTGTACTGTGGATAAAGGGGAACCAGTGGATGTATTGCATTCAGATTTCCAGAAGGCATTTGATAAGGTACCATGTCAAACATTTTAGAGGAAGACAAAAGCTGATGGTGTGGGGTGTAACATATTAACATGGATAGATTGGCTGGCTAGCAGGAAGCAGAGCCTAGGAATAAGTGGGTCTTTTTCTGGTTGGCAGGATGTTACAAGTAGTGTGCCATAGGGGCTGGTGTGGGGGCCTTTTCTTCGTTATTTATTCATGGGATTAGGGCTTCACTCACCAGGCAGCATTTATTGCCCATCCCTAATTGCCCAGAGGGCAGTTAAGAGTCACCCACATTGCTGTGGGTCTGGAGTCACATGTAGGCCAGACCAGGTAAGGATGGTAGTTTCCTTTCCTAAAGGACATTAGTGAACCAGATGGGTTTTTCCCGACAATCGGCAGTGGATTCATCCACTGTGGGCATCATTAGATTCTTAATTCCAGATATTTATTGAATTCAAATTCCACCATCTGCCTTGGCGGGATTCGAACCCAGAACCCCAGAATGTTACCTGGGTCTCTGGATTAACAGTCCAACGATAATACCACTAGGCCATCACCTCCCTTGTTATTGTTGATCTGTCATGGTTGTTTGCGAGGATTTCAGTGTGGAAGGTGGGTGACCACGGAGGCTGAACTATGCCCAGAAGGTTCTGGTGGAAATAAGAAAAGATAC